CTAACGATGCACGGATATCGACTGTCAGCCACCAATATGCAAACAATTACTAGTTGGTTCCCGACCCGACTACTTAATGAAGAAGACACGATGGACGTGTAGAAACGTGTATTGGGGTCGAAAGACCGAAGGCTAGAACAAGGGAAAATATATTTAATGTATAAATAGTTCTCTGTTTAAAATAATGTTACTGATTGAGTGATCCACTGCCTGTCTGCCTAATAATAGAAGTGATAACATAAAGTACATTTTGATTGATCCCTCTCCAGACTATTCATTTCTCTCTATCCCCATACCACGGAGAGCCTGAAGATTCTCAGAAAAGTCGGTTAATAGCTTCGAAATCTTCATCTTTACATTGTAAATTCATATCTTGTGTGAGGGATAGTATTACTGTCCAAACCAAAGCAGGTGATTGTCTTAGGGAACCACCACCGAGCCTTTGACCTAAAGTCTAATCTACAAGGCACTCGAACAACATCTGCAGCTGCATTTCCATGATTGCCATGACCAAAATAGGTTCATACGCCATTCGTTCCATCTGGAATCTGGAGCCCATGAGTACCATTGGTTTGGAATCAGGATTTTCCAACTCCCCTAGATGGACCCTCAATATCCACCAGTCCGGTGATAAACACCGGACATTCTCTTACGCCCTTTCACTTCTGTGGAAACACCCCCGCCACGTGAAGGCAGTGAATAGGACTTCTCTGGCAGAGGCTGTGAAAGCATACCAGAGCATTTGGGGGCATATATATATATATATATATATATATATATATATATATAAATGCTAAACTAGACGTCATTCAAGTACCAGAACTTAAAACCAGTAACCATCAAAAGAACATAGTGATGTACTCATTAGAAGCATGTAAACACCCGTTTAGAAATGACCATATACCAAAAGTGACCGATGAATTCAGTTCAGCTAAACTATGAAATATGCGGTATGAAAATTTCTAGTTCAAACGTGTAAGTAAACCTCTGAAAGAGATATAAATTGTACTTTGTACAGTCTTACCGATTTGAGGAAATTTATGTTAACACAAGAAACTTATATTCAAAAACGTTTTAAAGTGATTCTTTGTGTCTCCTATACAACATTTATTCATCTAGTGTTCAGTAAACATATGTAATTCAACACCTTGGTGAGATAACCATATGAACCTCACTACTACCTTATACTCATTACGATATAATTTAAAAAGTTCACTAGCAGTGCCCTTGTCTTTAATTTCTATTTATTATTCGTTGGTCAACCAGTTGTTCACGAATTTCAGCCGTACTCCATTTACCGAGGTTTTGGCAAGCAAGTAACAATATTAAGCCCTTTTATGATTGAAGTACTTCCTTACCTATTGCATGGAAGTGTACATATTTACTGATTTGTATTTTAATAATTTAAAGGTAATATTTATTGTGAATTAACTGATATCCTCTGATTAAAAAAAACACAACTGAATGTAAACCGATAGTCAGTGAACACCATTCATTTCCGTTCCATTGATCGATTTCTGATCAGTAATAAGGGAACGGTAGTCAATATTAATATAGAATAAAGGTGAATAATACTTCGGTACAGTGGTAGAGAATAATTCTATTTCATCTGATTTATTACAAGTATCTTACAGAGAAACAGTATCATTTACTGGATTATGTTTTGGACACAATTCATTATGAGATATATACAGAGTAAAGCAGTCTACATACCTTAGTGATTGATTGGAAGATAGTCCACCCATGAAACAATGAAAGAAATGAAAGTTCAAATACAATAAATTGAGATTAAAAATCAAGGTTATCTAATGATAATATAGTCAGATTGTCATTTTGCAGAAGGAAGTAAGTAGGAAGAACAGATATGTGGTTGTCTACACTAGAATTGCCGAACACATGTTAGAGTCTACTTCTGAGAGATTCATCCTCATATAAGAAAGCAATAGCTCGTAACACCCATTAAACACGAAAAATCACTTAGATACATTGAAGTCCTTTATGGCAGTCAACAAAATAAAGACATCATGTTTACTTCGAATTGCATAAGCTGTCACTATTCAACGAGTTCAGCTTGAATTATGCGTAAGATTAGACAGTTACCAATTTATTATTACTTTAGCAATTAGTGACTTTTCAATGTACCACCTTTACCCAAGAAAAGTTTTGATTACCTTTATTTTATGCTTATCTCTATCCATATTCATATTGATCATTGTTCCCTTATTGTTTTTGTATTTATTACGACAACTTTATCTCATTTACTTATTACTCGGCTAAGGAATACACACCGCTTCTTATTTAGAATCTTAGCTCCCCCACTCGTGAACATCCTTTACCTTACCTCAAGTGGCATTTATCACGGTAATTTACTTGGTTGTGGCTAGCAAAAGAACCCAGGATGCGGGTTTCATCCTATTTGGGACTCGTCAGCTGGATATAACTACCCCAGTAAATGGTGTTGTTCCCACTCAGACTCGAACCTCGTACCCATCGCTTCAAACGCCAAGGAGTCATCCGCTAGGCCATTGAGGCATGATAACCACCTCTTATACAACGGGTGTTAGTTATGGGCTCCAATGCAGATGCCAACAGAGGTCGAACAATTCTATCCAATAAAAAAAACCGCAGAATTCCAAGTACATCAACAAAACGTTATGACATTTATCTAGTTTGACTGACTTTATTACACAAACCTCCTCTCTGTTCTCGGTTGTCAAGTTTTTATTGTTATTTTTGATGTGTAAAACACTTATTGAGGTTGTATGAAATAGAATGACATCATCTTATTCTAGAAATGTTCTCATTGCTTTATTCATGAATTATTACATTAGAAAAAGTTGTTATTAACTCAACTCAAAAATTATAGCCTAATTAAAGTTAAATTGTGGTATATAAATACCACTTAAGAGTAAATTTAAGCATCCTATCCTATGAGAAATAACCGTGTATTCTGAGACCACTGTTTAACGACTTTAGAAGTAGGATGAAAAGATTTATCGAGATAGATAAAGTTTCTGTCATGAAAAATTCTAATGTTACCGTAGATTTCTCCAGTTTGGTTGGAGAAACCGCCTGGTTGTAGTAGATGTAAAGGGAATAACTAGTTAACCATATTTCTCTGTTACATTTTGTTGTTGTTGTTGTTGAGATTCCTCTGGTTCACAGAGTAGGTTGTTCTACTTCAACTTCGATGAAGACTACTAGTGAAACTAAAAAAACAAAGGGCTTCACTGACTGATCACTGGAGGGCAATTAATTTCTTGTCGTCTAATCCTGGGTTCTGACTGAATTCTATCGATCATATTTGCAATGTAGCCACTAAACTAGGAGGCTCATCATTCTACCTTATCAAAAAGTGTTTATCAGTAGAATAGAAGACAGAGCAATAGCTTCAAATCAGTAGGCGCGTTATATTACCCTACACCAAAGATATCTCAGAAACAATCAACCGATTAGTTCATCCGTTCGGAATAGGAGTAGCCAACAAACAAACAAAATCATTACACGGCATGTTGTGCAAAATAATATACATTTGATAGTTGAAAATATGCACACTATTACACTTTTGCTAAGAAGAAGCAGTTTCTATGAAGTCGCGAAACGTCAGAGATTAATTTTTCTACCTTATTAGGAGTTTACAAATATATTTCATTTATAATCCAATGCTCAACTTATTCGAAATTTAAATTGCCTTATTTCTCTTTGCCATCATTTCATACTCGGTGTATGATTAACTCATGAATGCTTAAACCATTAATGCGTCTATGTAAACATTTTCTACCTATTGCTCTCTATTTGATTACAGCTTGATAAAAGTTTTGTTGATAGGATATTGGTTATTTCAAGTGGTTTCTAAAAGTGTTTCTCCTGTGAAACCAACCGCCTACAAGAAATATTTATTCGCTCTAAGTTTTCATCTCTCCTACTGAACTGTTTTTCTCATCAATGATTAATATCTGATAAGTCCGTGTCAGTTTATTACAGAGCTCATTAAGGGTAGAATAGTTATTTTCTCCTTAAGATGTTTTGATTGTTGATGCATAATAGTAATAATAATAATAATGATTCCAGAAACCAAAAAGGCAAGCTTACCTAAGATACAATTGAGTTACACCACTGGCCTGGTGAATAACCCTTTGGCGTTTGAAGCAATAGGAACTGAGTTCGTGTCTCAGTGGGAACAACACCACTCACTGGGGTCTAGATGAATCCATCTGACAAGGACGAAACCCGTGTCAAGGTGGACTCCACCTAGAGTCACCAAGATGACTATAAAAATAACATAATGCAGATAAGAAAATGCATCATCTATTAAAAGGCAGTAAGAAAAGCTTGAAATGTGTATAGTTAGCAGGAAAAACACAAAAATGTCAGCAGGGTGTTTATAAAATAGAGTCATATTTGGTCACATTTTTGCAAAATGTTATCATGACTACTGGGGAAAAAAATATCATAACATGATGAAAATGAACTTTGATTAGGAATCAACAAGTTGTAGTCATGACTAAGACAGAAAAATAGAAAGATGGAGAGAAGTTGGTTTGTATCTATTTCATTCCGCTTCTTTTGTTTTTCACTATGTAAATCAAAATATGCTCACCCACCACATGCAGTTTTTTTAAAGTAGGCAATGAACCACACACGTATTATATGTATACTCAAACCTTGGAGCAAGGTTCTAACCTCGTGATATATTGGTCAAGTGTCTAAACTAAATAAATCACCATTATGTAAATTAAGTGCCTCAACTGTATTGTTTTACCTCATTCAGCGTTTTCTCTAACTAAGATGATTGTAATTCTCCCTTTTAAAAATAAATAGTAAACAGTTAATATGAGCATATTGTTTATCTTGAATCGCCAACATTTTTGATTGATTGATTGATTCAATAACTTGTACTACAACTATATTTTATTATTATTATTATTATTATTATTATTATTATTATTGCTTGTGGTAATAATGAAAATATTTTCTTTCCTAATTTTGTCTCGCAATAGACGCAATCAACAAGTGATCCAGTCGAGACGATTATGGTGGATAAGAAAGAATTACGTGAGTTACAAGGGAAGTTTAAATATTTAAAAGACTCACATATACAACTAATTAGTCAATTTCAATGTTTTAATCAGTTAATATATGATAGATTACAGTATGTTCAATCGATGTTTGAAAAGTATAAATACCAAACATCCTTTTATATCTCGAAGAAATATGAACAAGTAGATGATACTACTACGAACATATATACGCAACATGATTTGCCTATACTATCAAGTAATGCCTCATATGTACACTGTCCAATAGAGTGTAGTAGTCAGCATCACGTGGTGAATAATCATAGTTCTTGGCCAACGGTTGATTATACTCCATGTGAATACCAAATCTACACTGAAGAAATATCTGATAACAAGTTTTCAACAAATAATTATATATCTGAATTATCTGATCTCAAAGAGAATTATGAGAATTTACAAACTAAGCTATGGAAATCTGAAAGAGAAGTTGAAAGTTTAAAGACTGACCTACAGGCTATAGAAAGTCATATTAAATTCGCTATAACACAACACCAGTTCACTGAACTGCAGTATATGCTAAACTCTGGTGCATTTCCAAATATACAGTCATTAAATAAAGCATTTTTAGATCATGTATGGGAGGTTTTAACTAGCTACGAACAAAGCATAGGAATAAATACTAAGAATGAAACTACTGGAATAAGTAAAAATATAAATGAATCTCTGGATCAATACATTACTGAATGTGAGAGAAGTGACGAATCGTTTCCTATCAAAACCACAGAAACCATATCCTTATGTACAAATGAATACCGTCAGAATCAGCATCTTTATTCAGTATATGAATCACTAATACAGCTAACCGAAATGCATCAACTTTTGCAACAACAGAGAGCCAATACACAGAGTAGCTTTGCAGGAGGAGTTGATCAAGACCATTATCCATTCAGTCAAGAGATTGATAGGCTGTTAGACGATAAATCAGGATCCGTAGACAATGACTTAAACGAAAAGTTACAGTCTGTCTTAACTGTTACATACAAGGAGTTATCAATGTGTCAGCAGATTGTAGATAAACTTTTAAAAGAGAAATCTAATCATTGTAAAATCATTGCCCAACAAGCATCACAAATTGATAACTTGAATAAAAGGCTAAAAGAATTTGAACATCTCTCACAAACCTATATCACCTACGAGACGAATATTCCACATACTGTCACCGATATAAACCAACACATACAGCACAGCATTAATCATCAGGAAACTGGAACGCCAGAGAATCAGACAGCGAAATCTGAAGGTGAGAATGATATTCCTATGTACAAAACAATAATGCCTCAGGGATCTATTCAAGCATGCGACGAACAAACTAAAAAGTATCATGAAAAAGAAGCGTTTAACGAAATAAAAGACCTCGACGTGAACATAAAACAAACAAAGCAACATTCAGTGGAAAATAAAACCTTACCAATAGAAATGAATCAAGAATATCTGAATGTCTCAAATACAGTCCACGATACACAATTTGAAACTGCAAACCCAACCTGCAACACACCGATGTATCACGCTAACTGCCAGTATCAAGCTTTGTGCAATAAACAAGCTTCCGAGATAGTGTCGATGCAGACAGCTCTGTGTGAAGCAGTTGAACAGGCGTCATCAGCACGTGATGAACTGGAGGTCTATAGACAGGAGAAAACGGGTGTATTGTCAGAGCTGGAGAGTCGACTGGCTGTTTCGAGGGAGGAGTGCACTGCGTTAGAGGGTGAAGTGCTGCGACTTGAGATGTCGATTGAGGAGAACTGTAGGACAGCAGTGTCGATAGCCAGTCGAGACTGGGAGTTGCAAATGGATCAAGTGGTGAGTGAACGTGACACAGCTCTTAAAGAATTGTTGGAACTACGTGCTAGACTGGCTGCAGCAGACAGTCTGGATGTCAGGCCTATTGTAGCAGTGTGCACGAGTGATGTGGGAACCCAGAGACTGGACTCTGTTATTGAAGGTGATGTGGCCTTGTCGTCCGGATTGACTGGTCATCCGAGAGAGACTGTGAGCGTCGGAGTTGGTCAGGATGTTGAGGCTGACGAAGTGAATTTCATGGTGGTTGATGGTTGGAGCGGTTACAACTTGGAGTGCACGCGTGACGAGTCCGAGGCCAGTGGATTGTTGAGTCTGTCTACTGGATTTGTGGATGCGGAGGTGCAGGTGATGGGAAGTGAGCTTCGGTGGATGAGTGACCGGTTGTCAGAGGCGGCTGCTGTGGAGCTGTCTTCTGTTGACCAGTCGACGTCGACTCCTATGGAAGTGGTGAGCCAACAATTCGTTAGTGAGAGTGTGTGTGTAGATGTTGTTGAGGATGCCTCGAAGTCGGTGGACGAGCTGCGTGCAGAGTTGGCCTTCTGCCATGAACAGATTGCCATGTTATCGAGATCTGTGCAGGAGAGTGGTGACTCTTTGAGGGATGTTCGACATTTGTTGTCTGTGAAGGAGAGGGAAGTAGCCGAACTGGAAGAGGAGAAGCGTCGTCTGTCAGAGGAAGTGAGTGATGGGCGTGAGAGCCTGCGTGCAGAACAGCGTGATTTTGAGGTTTTGCGTGCGAAACTCGCTGCCTTGGAGAGCGAGACGGAGGTGTCAGCGAGGTGTGTGCAGAGTGGTGCGTCGGACACTGTTGTCGAGGTGTGTGTGCAGACGGAGATGGACGACGTCTTCGACCTGGTGTCGAAGCTGCAGCTGGAGATCAGCCGCCTACATGGTGAGCAGCTGACGATGTCCATGGCTCTCGACCGTTCACAGCCTCCGGAACATGTAGCTGCCACACAGTCATCTGCCATTGTTTCTTCTTTCTCAGGTTTTTCATCTGTTGTTGGAAGTTCGCCGAATTGTTCTGTTCCAAAATCTATTATCAATTCTGAAGATGATCTTCTTCCTTCGTACTGTTCTTCGACGACTGATATTACTATTTCGTCTTTAAATTTTGATTTCGCTGGACCGTGTGATACATTAGTTCCACGTGTTTCTAAGCATGCTGTATCTTATTTACCTTCTGATATTACTCCTGGTGACGATTCAACATATGTTGATTCTGAATCCACTAATAAATGGGATGCGCTGGAAACCAACGTCGTACCACCTGTTAGACACTTCTCTTACGCGCCTGTCGATGACATTTCCTGTCGAGACCTGTTTTCGTCATCGTCCATGGCATCGGACTTTCCAAGCCCGTCTTTTCTCCCTGGAGCCTCTAAGGATAAAAAGTCTATTTGTTTGAATTTGAATGCCGAGTTTCCTTCTTTTGCTACAAAAGCATCAACTGAAGACGGTCCTGTAGATAAACAGAGGGTTTCCGAAGAATATCCTGCCGATAAGAAATGTTATGTCCCAGAGTTCAATCTTTTGTCTAACTTGTCTCCTGATTATTCAAGCACAAAACTGAGCGACGTGTCTCATCTCGAAGTTGAAAACTCTTCTGGAAAACTGATTTGTGAAAATCGAAATGTTTTAGGTATCGAGCATGATAGCGTGTGTAATCCACTGCAAATAATACCACCTAAACCGGGCACAGAATCTACATCGGAAAGTATTCCAAGTGTAAGGTACAACGATATAGAGAAACATTTGAGCCTTTTATCCGACATTATGCCTGCCTCATCAGACAAACAATATTCGGCACTCAAATTTTCATTGGATGCGGCAAACAATAAGTTTGACTATACTCCACAAGATAAGAAGCAGGTAATTATGTCGAGAAACTTATGTGAACTAAATGTCATGAATACCCCACGGACCGAAACCGAGTCGCAAAAGCAACCAACAAACCCAACCGAAAAAATAAGCCTCAACTTCACGGAAATGACTATGCATACTGAAGATGAAAAGGCAATCATAGACTCTTTAGTACCTCCTCCCCCTCGCCTACCCACAAAAATCGATATTTACAACTCCACATATAGATCTAATGCACAACCCAAGGATGAATTCCTGAATGTAGGTAAAAAAAGCACCTCTGAAATAATATCTAACAGGAACCAAACAATACAACAGAACGACGTAATCGCAATCAGTACCGTAGAACAATCCAATTCCATAAAAAACACATATGAACATCACGAACACAGAAAATACCCGGTAGAAATGCAGCACAGCCAAAACACAAAAACACAAACAATGCAATCCTCTGACACTCAAAACTTCTATAAAAACGAAGACAAGACTCAATTTACAACAAACGTCGATATCCACTGTCAAAAAAGGAACACATCATTATTCAAATCCAACAAACCAGAAAAACAATACACCGAAAGCTCTATCTTCAAAAGCCCCGTATCAAACGAACTATACAACCATCAAACACCTCAAAAACAAAACAAAATTACTACCCAAGAAATCCCTGTAAACATCAACACAACACAACACATATCCGCAACACAAACCACATCCATCCACACGAAGGAAAAGGATGCACCACAACAACACAAACCAACAACAACTTCCGTCAACCTAACACGTATTAAAAACATCGCTCGGTGGATCCCTCATGAAAGTGTGATGAGGACGCCCGATGTGGTTGCTGGTGAGTCGGCGCGAGGTGAGTATGCACAAAGAGTGGAGGCAGCTGTTGTGACTGGTCTTCCCGATAGGAGTGACTCGATGCCAGATATTGTGATGGATCGACTACTGACACAGACTACAGACTCGAGAGCTATGGGAGTTTCAGACGACGAAGTGATCTCGCCTGTTTGTGTCACTCAAAGTCAGACGAAGCCGGTGAGTGAAGGAGTCATCGAGGATGCAGAAGCGGAGGTGTCGAGCGTGGAGACTCTGAGAGTACGATTGAAGGAGGCGATGAGCAGGATCAGCGAACTTGAGAATGCCAAGAGAGAGCTGAGCGTGCGTGTATGTGAGCTGGAAGGCGTCGAGGTGCGTGACGACAAGCTGTTGAGTGTGAGTTCTCCTAGTGTAGATGTTGCTGAGAGGTTGGTGAAGGATGAGGAGAAGACTGTCACGGTGTTGAAACACGATGATGACCTGAGGAGAGAGGTGGACTTGTTACGAAGCAGTGTGTCAGAGCGCACAACGCTGTTAGACGATGTGTGTATGGAGATGGACGATATCAGAGGATCACTGGGTTTCCTGTTGAGGCAGGTGAGAGATTTGCGTGCAGCACACGCCGAAGCGAATGCCGATCGTGCCGAGATGGTGACGAAGCTGATTGAGTTCGAGCGGGCCGCAGTTCGTTCACATTCGACTGCCGACCACACGATGATATCAGAAGTGCAAGATATTAATCAACCATCAGAAGACTCACTAGTCGATCATCGCACACCGGATGAGCTGTGTGGAGATTTGCAGCGTGCACTAGAAACAAGGTCGTCCGAGTTGGAGACGGTGAAGGAGAGAATGAGAGCCTGTGAATCAGTGAACTCAGCTTTGATGTGTGAGTGTGAGTCGCTGAAGCGTCGTCTAGAAGGCTACACCACCGTGACGACTGACCTGGAGAATGATGTGAGTCGAGCGAAATCGCTACTGCCATTAGTGGTGAGCGAGCTAAGAGACTTGCGTTGTGACTATGGAGACTGGTGCAGAGAACACGAACAACGAGTTCTGGAGTGCTTGGATGCTGTTGGAACAGCGCTGCCTGATGCTGTGGTTGAACGTGTGGACCGCGAGTGTGAAACGACGGTTTGGCCAGAGCACTCGGAGTCTCCTGCTGTACTTGATGATTTTGTGCAGCCACACAAGTCTTCTGAAGAAGACCTGTTGACACGGAAGGAACAGAGTGTAGATGATACTGTGAGTGAAGTGAACAGACTATGCGATGCGAACCGTGAGCTGTCCGAGGAGCTGTGTAAATACCAAGACCTGTGTGATAAGCAAGCGTCCGAGATAGTGTCGATGCAGACAGCTCTGCGTGAAGCAGTTGAACAGGCGTCATCAGCACGTGATGAACTGGAGGTCTATAGACAGGAGAAAACGGGTGTATTGTCAGAGCTGGAGAGTCGACTGGCTGTTTCGAGGGAGGAGTGCACTGCGTTAGAGGGTGAAGTGCTGCGACTTGAGATGTCGATTGAGGAGAACTGTAGGACAGCAGTGTCGATAGCCAGTCGAGACTGGGAGTTGCAAATGGATCAAGTGGTGAGTGAACGTGACACAGCTCTTAAAGAATTGTTGGAACTACGTGCTAGACTGGCTGCAGCAGACAGTCTGGATGTCAGGCCTATTGTAGCAGTGTGCACGAGTGATGTGGGAACCCAGAGACTGGACTCTGTTATTGAAGGTGATGTGGCCTTGTCGTCCGGATTGACTGGTCATCCGAGAGAGACTGTGAGCGTCGGAGTTGGTCAGGATGTTGAGGCTGACGAAGTGAATTTCATGGTGGTTGATGGTTGGAGCGGTTACAACTTGGAGTGCACGCGTGACGAGTCCGAGGCCAGTGGATTGTTGAGTCTGTCTACTGGATTTGTGGATGCGGAGGTGCAGGTGATGGGAAGTGAGCTTCGGTGGATGAGTGACCGGTTGTCAGAGGCGGCTGCTGTGGAGCTGTCTTCTGTTGACCAGTCGACGTCGACTCCTATGGAAGTGGTGAGCCAACAATTCGTTAGTGAGAGTGTGTGTGTAGATGTTGTTGAGGATGCCTCGAAGTCGGTGGACGAGCTGCGTGCAGAGTTGGCCTTCTGCCATGAACAGATTGCCATGTTATCGAGATCTGTGCAGGAGAGTGGTGACTCTTTGAGGGATGTTCGACATTTGTTGTCTGTGAAGGAGAGGGAAGTAGCCGAACTGGAAGAGGAGAAGCGTCGTCTGTCAGAGGAAGTGAGTGATGGGCGTGAGAGCCTGCGTGCAGAACAGCGTGATTTTGAGGTTTTGCGTGCGAAACTCGCTGCCTTGGAGAGCGAGACGGAGGTGTCAGCGAGGTGTGTGCAGAGTGGTGCGTCGGACACTGTTGTCGAGGAGGTGTGTGTGCAGACGGAGATGGACGACGTCTTCGACCTGGTGTCGAAGCTGCAGCTGGAGATCAGCCGCCTACATGGTGAGCAGCTGACGATGTCCATGGCTCTTGACCTTTCCCAGTGTGAGTTGAACAGGAAATGTGAAGAAGTGCATGACTTGGAGTTACGCATCGCGACCGTGGAGACGAGTGGGTGGATCCCTCATGAAAGTGTGATGAGGACGCCCGATGTGGTTGCTGGTGAGTCGGCGCGAGGTGAGTATGCACAAAGAGTGGAGGCAGCTGTTGTGACTGGTCTTCCCGATAGGAGTGACTCGATGCCAGATATTGTGATGGATCGACTACTGACACAGACTACAGACTCGAGAGCTATGGGAGTTTCAGACGACGAAGTGATCTCGCCTGTTTGTGTCACTCAAAGTCAGACGAAGCCGGTGAGTGAAGGAGTCATCGAGGATGCAGAAGCGGAGGTGTCGAGCGTGGAGACTCTGAGAGTACGATTGAAGGAGGCGATGAGCAGGATCAGCGAACTTGAGAATGCCAAGAGAGAGCTGAGCGTGCGTGTATGTGAGCTGGAAGGCGTCGAGGTGCGTGACGACAAGCTGTTGAGTGTGAGTTCTCCTAGTGTAGATGTTGCTGAGAGGTTGGTGAAGGATGAGGAGAAGACTGTCACGGTGTTGAAACACGATGATGACCTGAGGAGAGAGGTGGACTTGTTACGAAGCAGTGTGTCAGAGCGCACAACGCTGTTAGACGATGTGTGTATGGAGATGGACGATATCAGAGGATCACTGGGTTTCCTGTTGAGGCAGGTGAGAGATTTGCGTGCAGCACACGCCGAAGCGAATGCCGATCGTGCCGAGATGGTGACGAAGCTGATTGAGTTCGAGCGGGCCGCAGTTCGTTCACATTCGACTGCCGACCACACGATGATATCAGAAGTGCAAGATATTAATCAACCATCAGAAGACTCACTAGTCGATCATCGCACACCGGATGAGCTGTGTGGAGATTTGCAGCGTGCACTAGAAACAAGGTCGTCCGAGTTGGAGACGGTGAAGGAGAGAATGAGAGCCTGTGAATCAGTGAACTCAGCTTTGATGTGTGAGTGTGAGTCGCTGAAGCGTCGTCTAGAAGGCTACACCACCGTGACGACTGACCTGGAGAATGATGTGAGTCGAGCGAAATCGCTACTGCCATTAGTGGTGAGCGAGCTAAGAGACTTGCGTTGTGACTATGGAGACTGGTGCAGAGAACACGAACAACGAGTTCTGGAGTGCTTGGATGCTGTTGGAACAGCGCTGCCTGATGCTGTGGTTGAACGTGTGGACCGCGAGTGTGAAACGACGGTTTGGCCAGAGCACTCGGAGTCTCCTGCTGTACTTGATGATTTTGTGCAGCCACACAAGTCTTCTGAAGAAGACCTGTTGACACGGAAGGAACAGAGTGTAGATGATACTGTGAGTGAAGTGAACAGACTATGCGATGCGAACCGTGAGCTGTCCGAGGAGCTGTGTAAATACCAAGACCTGTGTGATAAGCAAGCGTCCGAGATAGTGTCGATGCAGACAGCTCTGCGTGAAGCAGTTGAACAGGCGTCATCAGCACGTGATGAACTGGAGGTCTATAGACAGGAGAAAACGGGTGTATTGTCAGAGCTGGAGAGTCGACTGGCTGTTTCGAGGGAGGAGTGCACTGCGTTAGAGGGTGAAGTGCTGCGACTTGAGATGTCGATTGAGGAGAACTGTAGGACAGCAGTGTCGATAGCCAGTCGAGACTGGGAGTT